TGCACTTATTATAAGTCATCTCTCATTCTTTCTAGCCTATGTGCATATTAAAAACAAGGCTATGATTTCTCATCCCAGTATCTTTAGCATTTAGTATCTTACTGACACATAGTAGGTATTGGCACATATTTTTAGACCTTGCATTTAAAGGAAAGCAAAACAATGATTTGAACCCTTCAATATTATGGGTCACACAAGGAGACTGGACAGCTTAGATCTGAAAACAATATACTTTTTTTTCCTTTTACAAGCCAATAAAATTGTTGTCACAGGCTCAATTCTCAAGACTTGACACTGAGATAGAGTTTGTGCAGCTGGCTCTTTATTAAGGATCAGCAGTCTCCAAGGCAAAAGGGCCTCAGCCAACCTTGTGGACAATTCTGGAGTAAGCAATATTCATAAGAATCATCCCCCACTGGATTAAGAGAGCGAGCCCTTTAAAACCTGGGCCTTCATCAAGTACCAAACATGAAGCCCCCCCTTGGGAAGTATGTCCTTGGGCAAAGTGACTCCTGACAGCTAAGGTAGTCCCTGAAGGGGTTGACAACTGAGGCAACAAATCTTTCCCTTTCAGGGACAACTGGTTGGTGCAGCTCTATGTTCACCATAGTCAACCAATTTAAAATAGTCTCTCTACCATGTGATAAGATATTTTGGCATTTGAGGACACAGAATAACCCCTTAGTGAATGAGACATTTCAAATCACATTTACCATTGAATTAAAGAAACAAGGCTATGCTCTTATAGACTTGGGGTAAAAGGGACCAAAACATGTTATTAATACAATGAGGACATGGAGGAATGCAAAAAGTTCTCACATTGAATTGTTAGCATGTGATGTCATTTTCTTATAAAATGTTGTTCTTCAGGAAGTGTGGCTGGGTACCTCTTCCACACAGAAACAGGCATTACTGAGCAAAGAGCTCTTCCTGGGATTTAACGGGACTCGAGCTTCTTTGTTCTGAAGGGAATAGGTGTGTCTATCCATTAGGATGTGCTTGTGATCTGGAATCACAAAGAAGGCAACTTCAGTAGAATATGACTTCCCTTTTTTTATCTAACTCTTTATTCCAACGCCCCACCACTAACCCTTTCAACCTCCATACACATTTGGTGATCCATTTTAGGCAGCTCTTTTGCTCAAGGAAGCATGTTTCAATGGAGCCTGAAGTAATGTTGTAGTTTGGATCTGGAATGTCCTCCAAAGGCTCATGTGTTGAAGACTTTGTTCTCAATGCAGCAATGGTCAGAGGTAGGGCTTTTGGTAAATGATTGAATCATGAGGGCTCTATTCTCATCAGTAGATTGATCCATTAATGGATTCATAGCTGAACAAGTTATTGGGAGGTGATGGAAATTGTAGGACAGAGGACCAAGTTGAAGGTAGCAGGCCCTTGGGGACTATGTCTTGTCCCTGGTCCCTTTCTTCTCCACTTTGTTTCCTGACTACCATGACATTATGAGCTGCTTTTTTCCACCATGCCCATCACCATGATGCTTTGCCTTGCCTCAGGCCCAAAGCAATGAATCTTCCTGACCATGGACTGAAATCTCTGAAACCATGAGCTAAAATAAAATTTTCCTCCTTTCAGTTATTTTTCTCAGGTATTTTATCACAGCAATGTAAAACTAACACAAGAAGTAATTAAAAGTAAATCCATACTTCTTCCAAGTCACAATGAACAAACTCACTTACTCCAACAATCCCCTAGCCCAAATCCTCTGCTCTACTTAATACAAAATAATGTATTGGGTGAATTAGTAAACATTTGAGTTTAGAATAAATTCAACAACTATTTCCTCAGGATCAAAAAAGGTTGATTTGTTCTTCATTCTGAATTTCTGGACAAAGTTTGAGAACTTACTACATACGTAAGATTTAAGAGATTGTTCTGGGAAACTGGGAGCTCAAGAAAATCAATTAAGTTTATAAACCTATTTATCTTCTACTGCAGAAGTAACTCATTATTATTAAATGCTTATAAATGATTACAATAAGGTCAGGTGACAGGAGGCTTTTCCTCCATCATTATGAATTATATGAATTTCTAAAATGTAAGCTACAAAGATTATAGCATTGTAATTTTCCTCTTTTCATGCATAGTAATGGAGAAGGCAAGTGAACATTTTTTAGGCATTCTGGGAATAGTGCTTATAACTGATCAATGTTTTCATTTAGTTCTTTCTGAATCCTTAGGGGTAAACACTAAAATAAAGCTAAATATGTTTAATTTTTAAAAGATATAATACAGATTCCATAGTAACTTAATATCCAATAATGTCTGGATTCTCTCAGTTCCCAGGGCTATTTTGGGGTCTTTGAGGGGGGAAATGTAACTCCTTTTCCTCTCAGCTTTTGTATGCTGCCACTGAATTTTACCCTATCTCTGTATACTCTTTTCTAGCCCATTAACCCTATTCAGCATCCAAGATCCAAAAAGGAGTGAGACTCTTGGCTGGTGAGGGGGAAACATCCATGGCTATGGGGAATAGGGAGCCTAGGCTTTAGTTCCAGTTTCAAGACTAAATGTGTGACTCTCTGCAAGTTCCTGGATTTCTTCAGGCCTCCAGTTGTTCATATATTTAGGGAGAGAAGATACTGGGTGCCTTCTACTGGCCCTTAAAATACTACTGTCCCATGTCCTCTAATACTCCAAGCATATTCTGCTCATTTCCATGGTAGAAGTTTTGACAATAGACTATGTAATGGTATTTGAAAAGATCATTTTCTATGGCTTCTGGAGAATTTGGAAGATATGAGTCATATAACTCACCCTTCCAGTACCAAATTAGTAGGAAGGCAATCAAGACTGGAGTTTAGGGGGTATATCTTACAGAGTCCAAAGGCAAAAATGAGATTTCAAAGCCAAGAAGAGACAGTTTAAAGCTAGAATTATTGTTTTCACTTTTTGATTAGCAACATGAAAGAATAGCTATAAATGCAGCTAGCAGTTAATACTTTCATTATCAGTTAAGGATTATAACAATTTAACTTCAGTATTGAATTTAGTTATTTATATGACAAAATTTCTCTCCACGTAATGGTCCAAATTGTTATTTCACATTTGCTTTCAGAATAGGGAGAACCTCCAATTTACTGGACTGGCTGGCTCCATAACCATGAAAGTTAAAATCAAGGTCAAGGTTAGATAGCATTAGTTTCATTCTGTTTCAAAGTCACAAATACAAATTTAACCCTGCTGGCTTTCTAAAAAAAATGTGTGAAAGTGGTGCCAAAGAGCATACAAAATCATCATCTCTACAGGAAAAGTAATTCACAGGTTAGCAGTGCTAACAGTGGGAAGCACTGTCATCTCTGGTTAACCAGGACAGCATGGCATCAAGGTTGCCTTGGAAACCAAGTTGCCAAGTCTGGGTCAGTATTGAGATACCCAGAGTGGACATAGCACTATGCTAGAATTATGAGTATTCTTGTAATGCTCAGTAACAATATTGCATTCAGAGCACTGGACTGTCAATGGCACAGAAACTATTGTTTGTGTCCTCCTGCTCACTCTTTAGAGTCACTTAGAGATACTATTGCCTTCTGAGATTAAAAAGGAGGTGGCTTCTCTCTTTCTCTCCATAGCATCTAAGGATGTCAGAATGCACCAGATTTTGTCTTCCTTCAACAGGCTAAATTTTGACACTAGCCAAATTTCTTAAGCCCTCACAACCTTAATACTCTGATGTTTTAAAACTGTGTCCACCATTCATTCTGGAATCACATCTCCCTCTTTTTTGGACCTTCCTTCCATATTAAAGGATATGGCCAAGCACCAGGTACATGAATCTTACAATCCACATCACCATACAACATTGAAGAGAAAGAAACAAGAAAAACAATACTTACACAGCCAAATTTTTGAAAGTATTCTCTTTTTATTTCAAAACATGGGAATAACTCAAAATTTGAGCCTCAATGACCAAAATATATTCAAACCAAATGTTCAGAAGATGAGCCAGGCCACCATTATGGCAACCAGCCTCGCATGGACAAGTGGACGTTAAAGAATGATGCCCGCAACATGGTTAAAGCTATAGCACACCCACAAATAGATTCAGACTTGGTTGTCTAATTTGCATGCATGAGTACAGTGCCTTCTCCATGCCACTAGTACATATATGCCTTTTCCAAAGTCAGTGCAGGATCCATATCTGTGCAAGTCTTTAAAAGTTTGCTCCCTTACAAAATTTTATCATAATTTATCCACAAGAGCCTTAAAGTGACAAATTTTTATGCCACCTTTACCTCCCCAAAGTTGCTTCTGAATAACAATTAGAGCTGTCAAGAGTCCCAGCATCACATGACAGAATCCGTTTGTTAGTTATTTTAATGTCAGTTAGCTGTCTGTGAGTAAACCTTGCTAAACATATCCACATGCTTGGCGTCTGGAATTTGAAATTGGTAACTTTTAGTGGCCATGGCAACCTTGGATCATAATGACAAGATTAAAAATATATATATAATGAAAGATGTCCTAGGAAGAGTTGAGCTTTCCTGCCTTCCAAAGCAAATTCTTCCCTAATATGTACCAAACAGTGACAGCCTGACACACTCTTGCACGGGGCCCCACTTTTTCCCACTAATGCAGAATTGCTGGAAACCCAAACAGCATTTAGAGCCAAGAGGGGAAGTGCCTGAATCTGAAAAGGAACCAAAAGAAAATGTACCAGGGAAAGAAGATGGGAACTGAAAACAAGTTCCCAGAGTAGCTGTCTGTCAAGAAGCGCATTGAGTCTTTATTACTAGAATATGCAGAATCCCCTGGGAATGACTGCATCTTTATTTGCCTTAACTCTTTTCTTGCCAGTCCTCTCCTGGATGTTTGAACTGCCTCTGTGGTTGTCCCAGCCACTCGCAGCAGGTCTCAGGAGCTACATTCCTCGCAGTGACAGGAGAGGATGTACCGGTAGGTGGCGGTGAGTCGCATGCCCCCGGAACAGCGCAGCCGCAGAGCCTTCAGCTTCGAGGTCTGGGGCCGGCAGCAGTGACAGGAAGAACGGAAAGGCTGCTTGAGGACAGTGCTGAAGGACACCAAGGGCTCAGAGCGTGATGCCTGGCTGCAGTGCCCCTCACACCTGGCCAGAAGCACCATCTGGGGAAATGAGAAGAGATGGTTACCCTCAGTCAGGTACCACAGCATCCTTTGAAAAGCCCTAACACTGCTTGCCAATGGCTGCTAGATAGACCCATGGGTCTCATTCCTGGTTGCATAATAAAATCATCTGGTAAACTCTAAAAACAAAATCAACACATCAGAGCTGGAGGCATAGCTTAATGGTAGAAGACTTGCATGCAGAGGTGCTGGGTTAGATCCCTGATACTGGGGGGGGAGGGGCGGATGTCAACACCCATGTTTATGTGGCAGAGTCTTGCTTGGTGAATTTCAAGCAAGTTGCCCTGTAATTCCAGAACCAATAGCAAGATCATAAAAGTGGAACTGTTCAAACAAAAGATCAAAGAATACATATATATGCATGAAACCTTTTGACATTTACCTTATGATGTTTTGGATATTTCAGGGATTGAAGATACCAGCTATTACCTCTGACATCATCCTATAGGGCATAATTAAACACTCAAAGATTAAAAGAAGGGAATGGTTAGCCTATCTTTCCCAAAGAAAGAAAAGATGACTTCTGATAATTATAGATCATTAATATCATTATTTGAGAAGATGCTGGGGGGTAAATTGAACAATCACTTAGCAACTACAAAGGAAATATGAGATAGTAGAAGAAAAAGAAGAAAAAGTAGGGCTTGGGAAAGAATAAGTTGGATTAGAGCAACTGATTTATTTTTTCTTAAAGATCATATAGGCAGATAGAAAATGGCAGCTGTAATCTGTTTGGATTTTATTAAAGCTTTTAATTCTATTCTGCTTTCTTTTTCACTGATAGGCAAAATAAACATGATCTAAAACAGGTTTTGGGAGATTATGTCATAGGTCTATAGTATATGGGCCAGTCCCTAGTGTCTACCCCCATTTCTCTAATTAGAGAAGGGGAGGGAGAAAGAGATATCTAAGATCTTTTCTGGTTCCTTCTCCCCATGTCTGTTTTACATTTCACCTTGGAGCAGTGTTAAATTTGTTGATCTCTAATGTAGATCATCTATTAGGGAGATTAAGCAGTTATTCAAAGTCACCTCCCTAAGGTTGGGGATCTAGCTCAGTGTCAGTATTCTTACCTAGCACGAGCAAGGCCCTAGGTTTGATCCTTAGCATCAGGGGGGAAAAAAAGTCCCTTCCCCAAATGGAGTCTTTAGAGATCCAGTTTGGGGTGGATACAGTGATCCTGTGCCAACAGACTTAGGAAATGTGTGGTACAGACACACATGAGCCAAACATAGACCTAACAGATCAGGTCATTAGATGCCCATACTAAAATGACCAAGTTAGTAGTGTAGGACCATTTACAGATGAGCTAACCTGATTATGATTTCACTAAAAGCTTTCAGTGTGCCAAGCTCCAAGTCCAGCCCACTATGAAGGACAAGAATTACAGCACCAAAGGACCTGGGGCCACCTGCAATGGACCTGGCCCTTCTTCCTCAGAACTTGGACTTTCTGCACAAGAATAATGCCCAACCATATACAATAAACACCTTCAGGGTAGCTGCCCCTAACCTTCAAAACAAGTTCAAAATCTTGAACAGGAGTCAAGGCCCTCCATGACCCGGGTGTCAAGTATCTGTTTCAGTCCTACTGACAGCTGTCCCTGCTGCATCAAGCTTAATTACTTAGGAGTCCATGGAACTGCCCCAAATTCTCCTGCCTCTGGCCTTTGCTCTTGTCTTGCCTCTCCCAGGAATGTCCTTGCTGCCTGGCTCAGCCTAAGGAAATCCCACCTATCTATCCTCTTTAGCCAAATTCAAATGCCCCCTCCTTTTTCTTATAGGCTTCATGTGACACAACATCATCATGAAACAATTATTGAACCCTTGATGTTCTCAACACACACACACACACACACACACACACACACACACACACACTGTCTCTAGGGTATCTTAGTATATAGATCTCAGCTCAAAATAGATGGAAATGGATGGAAATCTATCTATTGTGTGTGTGGTGAGGGACAAGGCAGGAGTTTGGAAGATAAGATCTATAAATGGGTATCAATTAGCAGGGGAAGGATAACCATTTCCTTTCTATGTTTACTCCTGATAGCTCACATTTTAGCCTCAGTCATGCCTCATCTGTGTTTCAGCACTTAATGAACATCTGGCTCAATGTGCATGTGAATTATCTGAGTTGTTGTCAAAATGGAGATTTCTCTTAAGTAGTTCAAAGAGATTCTGAGATTCTGTATTTTTCATGAGATTCCAGTTAATGGAGATAATGCTAAGCCAACAACCACAATTTGAACAGCAAGACTCTGGACTTATTTAAGTTTGAGGGCTCTTCTCTAGATGGATCACTAGGAGCAACCATTTAGCTAATAGTATTGAGTGCTTACAACATGAGTAGTACATTGCATGCTTATCTCAATACTACACAAAGGGTAATACAGTGGGGACTGGGGTTGTAGCTCAGTGGTAGAGTATTTGCCTAGCATATATGAGGCACTGGGTTTGATTCTCAGCAATGCATAAAAATTAATAAATAAAAATAAAGGTCTGTCAATAACTAATTAAAAAAAAGATACTACAATGATCTGTGATACTATTGAAGATCATAAAATTGAGGCTTTAGAGAATTTCAGTTACTTGCCCAAACTCACATATCTAGAAAAAGGCAGATCTGGAATCAAAGCTAGGTCTATCTGAATCCAAGCTCTCTATCTAAACCACTGTAATACCTGCCTCCTGATACGAGGTTTTCCCAAGACACGAACTGACTTACACTCTTCTTTTTTTTTAAGAGAGAGAGAGAGAGAGAGAATATTTTAATATTTATTTTTTAGTTTTCAGCAGACACAACATCTTTGTATGTGGTGCTGAGGATCGAACCCAGGCCTCACACATTCCAGGTGAGCGCACTACCGCTTGAGCCACATCCCCAGCCCTTACACTCTTCTTTAACCTACACTGCCCTGCCTCTGGGAGCCCTGATCATGTCTAACCTCTTTCTTTCTTCCTTACCTTTACTTTCCCCTCCCTCCTTTCCTTCCTTTCATTTTCTTTTGTTCTTCCTTTCCTTTCCTCCCCCCCATCTCCTTCCCTCTCTCTTTCTATCTCCCTCCTTCCCTCCCTCCCCCTTCTTTCCTTCCTCTCTTTCTTTTTCTCTTATTTTCCTTCCTGGGGATGGAACCCAGGGCCTCAGGCATGCTAGCAAGTGATCTACCGCTGAGCCACACCCACCTCCTAACTTTTTGCCTATGGGCTTCATTGGACACAGCATCATCATCCCCAAGTTTAAGCAGAGCTAAATCTTCCAAGCTCTAAGTGACTAGGAGTCCCCATTAGCATCAGAATAAAGATCCATTTGTCCCACATTAAATCAACATTTGGGCTATTTTACTCCAACTGAGTAGGAAACATATTTTGTCTTTTTTCCTCACCAGTGAACACTGTGTACCCCTTTTATAGGGTACCCCCTTTCCCCTGGGGAATAAGATTCACCCATGACTCTTCTCCCATTCTTTCCTTCACCAGCAGCCTCAATAAATGGCTGTTTAGCTAATCTCCAGGGACCCAGCTCAACCTCCAAAGGGTCTGTGCCAGGCTGAGGTCACCAACAAAATAGCAACCAGGGAACAAATCAGCATGGGGTAAAGGGAGCTTTGAAAGTTTGAGTAGAAACACAGCTCACTCCAACTGGAATCTGATACTATCACTAGGGTCACGAATCCAACTGGCATTAAGAGGCCTTTGTGCACAGGTTCTTCTGTGTATGAGTTTCTGTTCCTCTCTCCCTTGTTTTGGTAAGCATTATGAGTGTGAACTATCTCTCCCCTCACTCCTTATTTTTCTTTCTTCCTTCTCTCTCCCTCTTTTCCCTCCCTCCCTCCTCCCTCCCTTCCTTCCTTCCTTCTTTCCACTTTCTTCCTGTCCTTCCTTTCTTTCCACTTTTTGTGTCCATCACCTCCCACAGTGCCTGTATATAGTAGGCATTCAGTATAAATGTTCCCATTTTTAAAACCAAGTCATATTTCAAGTGATCAATTGTGTTGTGTTCCTGAATCCCTTTATTTCTCCTACCATACTATAAACTTCCTGGATAGCAATAGGAGATAGCTTGAGGGGTTCCAAACAGCTCCCTCTTGATCCTGAGGATCAGCCCTTGGCATGCCAGGTCCATTTTCCTCTGGAAATTTTCATAGACTTTGTCCCCTAAACCCTCTACCTTCTCCTTCCTTGCTGCCTTTTGGGCACCTCCCATTCCTATAGCCCTTAAGAGTTCAGATAACGGTGCCTTGGATCCATGCTCTCGCTTGGGGCCACCATCTCCCACTTCTCACTCAGCTCAGTCTGCACAGACCTGTCCTACCAGCTCACTTTCCCAACCTGGCTTCCTGAAACCCTTCCTTGGCTCAGGACCAGAACTCATCTCCCACCACCACCATCACCACCACCCATAGTCCCTCTTTCCTGCACTCACCTGATAAGGGAGGTCAGACAGCAGGATCTATTTCTCTTTTACTTTTATCTTGCCTCTTAGCACCCAGGTTAGTGGCTTACATTCACTTTGCTCTATTATCCCACACTCTTTCCAGTGAAAACCACAATGAGGTTCATTTTCCTAATCCTTTAAGGCTATAGGAGATCCCAACAGTTATTGAGATCTCAGTGGTGACTGAAATAGAAAAGTGAGTGGAAACACCTGTCTAGTTTATAACTTCTTCATCAAGATCATAATATCATTTATTAAATGTCTATTCTATGTTGGACATTGTGCTGGTCATTTTACAAATACTCTTGCTGACATGTGGACATACCCTTGCCCTCAAATAGATTAATCCATTTTGCATGGGAAGAAATTGGGGCATCAAAGAATGGCTTAGCCTTCCCAAAGTCACCTATCTGGCAAGCCATGAAGCTGGAATTGGGAACAAGGACTCTGACAACAAAGCACCGATTCCCTTAAACATTTTCTAGCAGCCCATTTCCCCTAACCACTGACCTCCTGTGTGTTTGCTCAACAGCCTTTACTCACTAAGAATTTAGTTTTTGTGTGTAAATTAG